TGCTGCCCCAGAGCAGGCTCTGCCTCCAGGGGACAAATGCAGTTGAGGGTCCGAGGACACTGCCCGGTGACGCGCTGTCTGCCTGGCAGGCTGGATTGTTGTTAGATCTCCAGGGCCACCACCGTCACCGCCCCCAAGCAAAGCCAGTGTGCAGCTCACTGCTCAGTGCTGGCCCTCACACCCCACGTCACCATGTCTGTGTGCTGCCACCAGCTGTCCCAGGAAGGGCCAGCAGAGAAGCGAGGGGGACCTGCAGTTGGCTTCATGGGCTCCAACTCCTTTTCTGCCCTGGATTCCCATCCGGGGTCATTCACTGCTTTCCCCACTTCCGCGTCCATCTCTCCCGTGCAGGTGCTTCTCTGCATCCCAACAGAGCTCGTTCGGGGGCACTTTGGTGCTGGGGTGCAGAGCTACGCCTGTGCCTCTGCCCAATGATCCACCCTCCCTGGCCCCTCTATCTTTGCACCTTCTTTGGGGGGAGGGGGCGGTGGCTGTACTCAATCATGGTCAGGGGTTACTCCTGGTTCTGTGCTCAAGGATCATTCCTGCCAGCTCGGGGGACCATATGGGGTGCTGGAGATCAAACCTGAGTTGTAAAGCAAGTGCTATCCCACTGGACTATCTCTGGCCCTAAGGGAAACACTTGGGGTGGGGGACCTACATCCATTGCTGCCTAGCACCTAGATCAGAGCGACATGTCCCAACGACGCTCAGGGGGACCATGTGGTAGCGGCAGGGGCTGAAGCGTGACTCCCTCACACAAAGGAAACTCTCCCACATCCTGCAAGATCTCTCCTGTGCACCTGCCATTAAAATCTGTCATGCTGGGCGCGGGGACGGGGGTGGAGGGCAGGCCACGTTTTGCGTGCAGGAAGTCCAAGTTGAAAGTCCAGCACTGAATGGTCCCTCACCCCAAAGCACCACCAGGAGCGACCTCAGAAACTGAGTGGGGACATTGACCCAGGGTTGGGTCTATGACTAGTGATGACCCACAAACCCCAAAAATAAAATGTCAGGTTAGGGGCCAGAGTGACAGCACAGCAAGTAAGCACACACGGGTGGTGCACACAGCCAGTCTGGGTTCAATCCCTGGCACCCCCCCCCAAAGCCCATGAGGAGTGATCTCTGAGCACGAAGCTGTGAGCAAGCGCTGAGCACCGCCGGGCAGAGCCCCCACCCCAAACAAAATGTTGTCAGCCAGCAATGCGCCCCCAGTTTGTGGTGGTCCTGATAACCAGCTGCCCACACATCTAGCGGTGGGGACTGGCTGCCGGGGCACTGTGACATATCCTGCTCTGCAGATCTCATCAGCAGATGCCCGGCCACTTGCATATCCCTGGCTGCACCACGGCCCCCACCCCAGGGGTGTGGGACCAGGGACGGGGAACTCACGCACAGATGGGCAGGGCCAGGGGACAGATACCCTGTGCACACTGGGAGTCTGCAAGCCACACAGCTGCCTGCCAGCCCTGCCCCAGGCCTTTGGGGAGTGTGGGGGGGTGAATACCCCGCGGTGCTCAGGGCTTACTCCTGGTTGCCCTCTATACTATCACTTCAGCACCAGGAATTTTTTTTTTTTTTTTGCTTTTTGGGTCACACCCAGCGATGCTCAGGGGTTATTCCTGGCTCTGCACTCAGGAATTACTCTTGGTGATCCTTGGGGGACCATGTGGGATGCCTGGGATCGAACCCAGGTCGGGTGCGTGCAAGGCAAATGCCATACCTGCTATGCTATCGCTCCGGCCCCAGGATTTTTTTATTTTCTCATATTTTAATTTTATTCAAAAATTTATGAAAATATTTATTATTCTTTATCCAGCATTCTCAATGAAAACAACCTAACCATTTTTTTAAATTTAATTTTTATTAGTGAAACACCATGGGGTACAGTTGTAGACTTACAAACTTTCGTGCTTGGGTTTCAGTTATACAATGATCGAGTACCCATCCCTCCACCAGTGCCCATTCTCCACCACCAACGATCCCAGTAGCCCTCCCAGCCCCCTAATCCCGCCCCTGTGGCAGGGCGTTCCCTTTTGCTCTCTCTTGCCTTTAGGGTGTTGTGGTTTGCAATAGAGGTATTGAGTGGCCACTGTGTTCAGTCTAGAGTCTACTTTCAGCGTGCATCTCCCATCCCCAGCGTGCTGTTCCCTTTAGTTGGTGCTCCCTTCTCTATCTAAGCTGCCTTTTCCCCCAGCATTCAACACCGGGATTCTTATTTAAAAAGATGGAGCCAAATAACCAAACCACATAGTCAACAACACTCAGAGATCCAAACTTCAACAACTCAGGGCTGGAGCCATAGCACAGCAGGTAGGGCATTTGTCTTGCACGTGGCCAACCCGGGTTCGATTCCCAGCATCCCATAGGGTCCCCTGAGCATCATCAGGAGTAATTCCTGAGTGCAGAGCCAGGAGGAACCCCTGTGCATCGCTGGGTGTGACCTAAAAGGCCAAAAAGCCAAAAAAAAAAAAAAAAGAAAGAAAAGAAAAATAACTTCAACAACCCAACTTAAGGGCTAGAGCGATAGCACAGTGGTAGAGCGTTTGCCTTGCACATAGCCAACATGGCCGACCCGAGTTCGATTCCTCCACCCCTCTCGGAGAGCCCGGCAAGCTACCGAGAGTCTCTCGCCCGCACGGCAGAGCCTGGCAAGCTCCCCGTGACGTATTCGATATGCCAAACACAGTAACAAGTCTCACAATGGAGACGTTACTGGGCCCGCTCGAGCAAATCGTTGAACAACGGGAGGACCGTGACCCAACTTAAAAGGTGCTTGTCAAGAGCGCAGGTGGGATGGTGTGTGTGTGTGGTGGGGGGGGTACAGACATGGGTCTTGCATGGATCCGATCCCTGACTTCCACAGGATCCCCTAAGCACCACCAAGGAGTAATTCCTGAGTCCAGAGGCAGCAGTAACCCCTGAACATTACTAGGCATGAACCGTGCCCCCCACCCCCCCAAAAAACCCACAAACAAACCCTACACAACCCCCCCCAAAAAAAAAACCCCACAAAATCAAAACCCTGGCCAGAGAGGGAGTACAGACAGGAGTTCGGCATTTGCCTCACATGCAACCAATCCAAATTCATCCCTGGAACCACAGAGGGTCGCTGATCACAGCCCGAGTACACTGGCCCCAAAAGCCCCACTCCCCCCCCCCAAAAAAAACCCCAAAATCACACATCAAAGAAGACAGGCTTCGTTCACCCAAGACACTATTTATTTAGTGAAAAGTTCAAGCAGGATGACAAGCTGAAGGCTACGTGTGGACACGAGAATCTGCACCTTCCACGCTGGGGTGCAGGAGAAATACCACGGGACTCACAGCAGATGGCAATCTCGCTATACAACACATTCCAGAGTTGAGTTACAGTCTGTGTGTGTGTGTGTTTGTGTGTGTATACTGTGTAGGGGTTGGCGGGGCTGATGGGGGGGCATGAGTTTGCCCGCCACGCCCACCCCCAAACACCGCATGTGAATCATTAGCACCAGATTATTCCCTAGGCAAGCACAGCGCTTCTATACAAAGGTATGGACACAGACGCACGGAATCTGTGGCCCCAGGAGGCCACACAGCGAGAAGGAAACGGCCCGATGGTGGGGTGAGGTGGGGAGCACAGGGCAGCTGTGCGTTTGTTAAGACCATCACATGACACTGTGGATGGAAGTTCTTGAGAGACAGGAGAGTGGACAGGGATGGACACAGATTCTAATCTTCACATTTCACAGAGATGGGGGCCAGGCATGAGAAGTGTGCCACTGTCACACAGGGCAGGATAATCACATTTCAACGTGTTTCGCCGACATCACAATCACAAACAAGACGTGCCCCCGAAGTGGCAGCTGCTGCGTCTTGGTAGGGTGGGGGCGGGGGGAGGCAGGAGAGAGGAACCAGCCAGGGGCGGGGGCGGGGGGGGCGCCTGATGTGAGACCTTACCAAGGGGCCTGTGCTCACAGCAGGTGGCAGCTGGGGCTTCCTGAGTCTGACACGACTGGTCTCAGGAGCAGGTCACAGCCTCCGGTCTTTGTTGGTGGTGGCGTGGCAGGGCTGCCGGAAAGGGTATTTATTGCCTTAGTAAGTCCACAGAGTGGACAAGTGGCCTTTAAGACACCTGTGTGTGGCTGGCCTTGGGCTGGGGTCGCTGCCAGAGAGGGGGCCTGTGCCCAGCTGTGCGGGTGAGGGCGAGGGAAGGTCCGGTCTAGCAGATCCTGCCATCAATCACGCCTCAACGCTCCCTTCATGGGAGTGAGCCTAGAGGCCAGCAGCCACAACAGAGGTCACTGGACCCTAGGGGACACTGGCACCTGGGGTTGTGCAGGAGCCCAGCGCTGGACTCCCTTTCCCGAGCCCTTCTGCTATGCAGAGGCGCCGGGGGTGAAGGGTCCGAGGGCTTTCCCGCCACCGGGCATGCAGATGGTGCAGTGGAACCCCTGTGGGTGATGCAGTGGTCTGCCTGCTGGAAAAACTCATGAGAATTGTGTCAAGTGGGGCCTTGGTGTGACAGGGCCATGCCGTACAGTGGGTGTGTCCTCCCGGGCCCCGTCACCAACCACTGCAAGGGCCCCTGGCAGGGGACTGGCAGTGAGGTGGAGAGCAGAATTCTTACCAGCCCTTCCCAGCGGCAGAGTGGGTGTCTGGGGGCGAAGGGAGGACAAGGAAAAGGCACCCCAAGAAACGTCCGGCTGGGCTCCCGAAACAGGCGCTCAAGGACGGGGTTCCCAGGCATTAAAATCCGCGAGGGAAAGGCGGCTGGCCCAAGAGCCCGCGACACCCCATGCCACCTCCTGTCCCCTCGGGGAGCACGAGGGGCACTGCGAGTCTTCGGGAGGGAGGAGGGAGGAGGGGGACACGAAACAAACTCCGCCCCTCCCCCCCTGCACAGGGACTTATTGCTTTTTGGTGGCTTGTCTGCCTCCCGGCCATGTCATCGCTCTGGCTGGGCTCCCTCGGGGCGGGTGGGGGGGGGGGGGACGGGGGCGTACGCAGGGGTGCTGGAGGTCGGGGTTCGGGCGTGCATTGCAGGCAGGGGGCAGGCGGGGCCTCCTCCCCGTTATTTGCCCCGCTCGGGCGGCAGGCTGTCCAGCAGGCACTTGAGCTGCTCCTCGCCCAGGTGGATCTTGTCCTCCAGCTCCCGGTGCTCGATGAGCAGTGCCGACCTCATCTTCACAAAGTGCTCGTAGTCGGCCAGGCCGTCGGCGCCCAGGTAGCCGGCCAGGATGTGGAAGACGGTGCGCTCCCGGCGGTCCAGGTTCTCCTTCAGCTCCTTGGCGTCCCGGTGCTGCTGCGTGAGGACCCGCTGCTTCTCCCGCAGGGAGTGCTGTTGAGGCCGGGGAGAGGCCCGCTCAGCGCCCGGGGCCACCCACGCCCACCCCACATGCCAGGAGCTGCGTTGAGGGGCGGGGGGCTGGACTCCCCGCCTCTGCGTTGCCGCCTCTTCTCCACGGCCGGGGTGGAATGTGACACCTACCAATATCTAAACTTTTCTTTTGGGGTCACGCCCGGTGGTGCTCAGGGCTTACTCCTGGCTCTGTGCTCAGGGATCACTGCTGGAGGGGTTCAGGGGACCACCAAGGATGCTGGGGATGGAATCCAGGTCGGGCACGTGTAAGGTAAGTGCCCTATCTGCTGCGTGATCACTCCGGTTCCCCTACCTAGAGTTCTGAACAGAAACCCCAAGTGTTGCTGTCCTCTTGGGGTAGGTCTGCTTATAAGGGTCCTGTCTGAAGCAATGTGAATTCCCTAAATACATCACATTTATTCATATTGAAGCTTGGACTTTTTTTTTTTTTGGCTTTTTTGGGTCACACCCAGCGATGCACAGGGATGACTCCTGGCTCATGCACTCAGGAATTACCCGTGGCGATGCTCAGGAGACCATATGGGATGCTGGGAATCAAACCCGGGTTGGCCGCATGCAAGGCAAACGCCCCACCTGCTGTGCTATCACTCCAGCCCCGGAAGAAAATTTTTAAAAAAATGTGGGTATTTGGGCCACACCTGGTGATGCTTAGGGGTTACTGCTGGTGGGGCTAGGTAGGTGTGTGTGTGTGTGTGTGTGTGTGTGTTGTGTGTTGGGGGGAGGTGTCTAAAGGATGCCAAAGATCAAACCTGGGTCGGCCACATGCAAGCTAAGTGCCCTACCTGCTGTGCTCTGGTGTCCCGGTCTGTATAGTTTTGGATAAAAACCCAAGAACTTCTGTTTTCCTTGCTGGGTTCTAGATTTGTGTGCAAAAGTCCTGACTGAAGTAGTGAGAATTCCCCGTGTGCACTGTATGTTTGCGTATTTAGGCTTCAAAGGTAATTTTTTGGGGGGGATCATACCCGGCAATGCTCAGGGGTTACTCCTGGCTTTGCACTCAGGAATCACTCCTGGCGGTGCTCGGGGGACCATATGGGATGCTGGGAATCTAACCCTGGTCGGCCGCATGCAAGGCAAATGCCCTACCTGCTGTGCTATTGCTCCAGCCCCCTGCGAAGGTAATTTTTTAATTAAAAAAATTTTGTTTTGTTTTGGGGCCAGACCCGGTGATGCTCAGGGCTGACTCCGGGCTCTGCCTTCAGGAATGACTCCTACCAGTGCTCTGAAGATGCTCTGGGATGCGGGGATGGAGCCCAGCTCAGTGGCCTACGGGGCCAGCGCCCTCCCCGCTGTGCTCTCTCTCTCTCCAGCCCTGATGGAAGGTCCTTTACATCACATGTCACTTCCGGCAGCAATACACTGAACTCTGGCACTTACTTCATTTTAGGACATAGCGGGGCAAAAGGAAGTGAGTCTAAGGGAAGCCCAGAGGCCGGCCAGCCAGCAGTGGCAGGAAGGGGACACTCCTTTGAGAGGCAGGTTGGGTGCAGGGACTTGCGTCTGCTTCCAGAGCTTCAAATCGCAGCAGCCCAGGAAGGTCTCCTGCCCTTCCCCTATTTCTGGGTCAATTCTGAGCTGTATGGCTTATTACCCACCCCACCCCCCCAGCCACCACTGCTCTCTGCATCTCCCCTTCCTGTCCATACCCCAGCTCAGGGGAAATCAACAGCCTCCAGGGGGTCCTGCCCACCCCCAGGGGTACCCTGATGGTTATGTGGAGAGAACTCAGTTCTCTGATGCCCAGACGGAGAAACAGCCAGGCTAGCAGTGGGGATGGAGAAGGGACCACCATGACAAAGATAATTGGAAATGATCACTCTGGATAAGAACCGCGTGCTGGAAGGAGGGAGAGGGACAAACAGGGATGACCTCTCAGCATCTGCATTGCAAACCATAATGCCCAGAAGGGGGGAACCAGAGCACAGAGCCAGGAGTCAGCCTTTTACACAAAGTCAGGAGTCAGCCCTGAGCACAGATCCAGGAGTCAGCCTTGAACACAGAGCCAGGCGTCAGCCTTGAGCACAGAACCAGGAGTCAGTCCTGAGCACAGAGCCAGGAGTCAGCCCTGAGCACAGAAGGAATGAAGATCCGCTGAGCACTGCCGGTGTGATCCAATCCTACCCCCAAACTCAAGTCTAGTTCCTGCTTATGTGAGTTTTCTAACTGCTTTCAGAGAGACACATTTGCTGCAGATTGGGTCTGGGGCTGCCTGGTGTGTGAATGTGGCTGTGTGTGGGGGTGCACACATGTGTGTGCGCGCGCATGTGTGCATGTACATGTGTGTGTGTACGTGCGTGAGTGTGTGTTAATGTGTGTGCATGAGTGTGTGTGTACGTGCGTGTGTTAATGTGTGTGCGTGAGTGTGTGTGTGCGTGTGTGCATGTGTGTGTGCATGCTTGTGTACATGCGCTGCGGGGATGCTCACCCGATCGCCAGGAGCCGCGCTGTCGTCCAGGTTGTTGAGGGCGTTCTCCACACGGGCCAGGCGGCCGGACAGCGAGAGCAGGAGGTTGACCACCTTGTCCAGGTCGCCGACGAACATGCGGAACTTGTCGAACTCGTTGGGCTTGCATACGTCCTTGGCCAGGGCCTCCACGGCCGCGCCCAGCGCGCTGTTGGCCCGCATGTCTTCCAACAGGCTCTCGCGCGCCTCCCGCAGCACCTGCAGCTTGCGGCCCAGGCTGTCGATCAGCTCCTGCTGTGGGCGGGCCGGGAAGAGGCCGCATGGTCAGCGGTGATGCCCCCCACCGGCCCCAAGAGGCCAGGAGTGCTCCGGGTTCCATCCCCCACACGGCACAGGGAGCCCCTGAGCACCGTGCCGTGCGCTGTCGGACAGGGCCAAAGCAAAGCCCACCACCAAGGGCCAATAGCTCATGCGGGGGCAGCATGCATGCATGCGGCGGGCAGCGTGCATACAGCAGGCAGTGTGTATACGGCTTGAAGCACGCATATGGCGGGCAGCGTGTATACGGCGGGCAGCGTGCACACGGCGGGCAGCATGCACACGGTGGCCAGCATGTATACGGAGGGAAGTGTGCACATGGTGGGCAGCGTGTATACGGCGGGAAGTGTGCACACGGTGGGCAGCGTGTATACGGAGGGAAGCGTGCACACAGTGGGCAGCGTACATACGGCGCCGCTTCCGTGGGTGGGGGTGGGGGATGGGGAATGGCATGGAAAGGGTTTTAAATGCACTTGAGGCGATGAGATACAACAATTTATAGGTCCACGGTTGGAAGCCCACCTCAAGGGCTGGGGGAGGGGGCAGCTGGGATAGACAAGGGACCACTATGACAAGGATGGTTGGGAATGACCACTCTGGATAAGGAGGGAAAGGGACAAATATGATAACCTCTGTATTGTAAACCTCAATGCCCACAAGAAGGGAGGGAGGGAGGGGGGAGGGAGGGAGGGGGAGAGGGAGGGAGAGAGGTAAAGAAGGAGGAAGGAACAGGAAGAGAGGGAGAGAGGGAGGAAGGTAAGGAGGGAGGAAGAGAGGGAGAAGAGGGAGAGAGGGAGGGAGAGAGGGAGGGAGAGAGGGATAGAAGGACGGGGAGAGAGAGAGAGAGAGAGAGAGAGAGAGAGAGAGAGAGAGAGAGAGAGAGAGAGAGAGAGAGAAAGTGCCTGCCCTAGAGGCAGGCTGGGTGGCAGCAGGGAACCTGGGGACACTGGTGGTGGAAAAATACACTGGTGGAGGGACGGGTGTTGAAACACTCTATGACTGAAACCCGACTATGAACAGCTCTGTGCATCTCATGATGATTCGATAAAAGGAATATGGTCCCCAGGGCACCTCCAGGAGTGATTCCAGATGGCAGAGCCAGGAGGAAGCCCTGAGCATTGCCAGATGTAGTGCAAAACCAAAACCAAAGGAAAAAAAGATACCCCAAAACCCAGAGTATCCCCAAGCACCCAGGAGTGGCCCCAAAACCAAATAAAATGAAACAAAATTTATGATTCGCTATCAGTAAATGTTTGATTTGGAGATGTATTTTATACACAGGGTTGCACGAAAATTTCTCTGGTGACAGGACTTGAGCCACAGTACGGCAGGTACAGGCTGGAGCAATAGCACAGTGGGTAGGGCATTTGCCTTACACGCAGCTGACCAGGCTGACCCAGGTTCGATTCCTCCGCCCCTCTCAGAGAGCCCAGCAAGCTACCAAGAGTATCTCGTCCACATGGCAAAGCCTGGCAAGCTACCCGTGACATATTCGATATGCCAAACATAGTAATAAGTGTCACAGTAGAGACGTTACTGGGCCCGCTCGAGCAAATCGATGAACAACAGGAGGACAGTGACGGCAGGTACAGAGCCTGCCTTGCACGTGGCTGATCAGCGTTCAATCCCCAGCATCCCATAGGGTCCCAACGACCACTGCTAGGAGGTATTCCTGAGTGCAGAGCCAGGACGAACCCCTGGGCACAGCTGGGTGCGCACCCCTGCACCAAAGAATTTCTTCCCCTCTGGTCAAAAGGAGTCAACATTGGAAAAGATTCGAGAAGGTCCAGCTTCACGGGCTGGAGAGCTGGTGCCGGGGGTAGGCTGTTTACCCTGCACACAGCTTGTCCGGGTTCTATTCCGGCACCCCCAAGTCCCACCAGGCGAGATTGCTCAGCACAGAGCCAGGTGTGGTCCAAAAATCAAATCAAAAGCACCCAAAAGGAGAGAGAGAACAAGGGGGAATGCCCTGCCACAGAGGCAGGGTGGGATGGAGGGAGGGAGGGGGGTGGGAGGGATACTGGGATCAGTGGTGGTGGAGAATGGGCCCTGGTGGAGGGATGGGTATTCGATCATTGTATAACTGAAACCCAAGCACAAAAATTTGTAAATCTACAACTGTACCTCATGGTGTTTCACTAATAAAAATCTTAAAAAAAAAAAAACCCAAGATACACAAAGACGCTCTTGCTGGGAAAGAGCAAATGCAGACACGGGCCAGGAAGACACTGTTCAGTCTGGCCCCACTGGGAAGCCAAGGGGCTCTGAATTCCAGAAAGACCCCATGTCTGGTTCCCGGCAACATACTTGGCCTTGGAGACAAACGCACCTTCGGGTCTGCACAGACACTTTGATAAAGACCCATGGAGGGGACACAGTAAATAGAAAATCTGCACATCGTCTGATGTTTGGGCCATGCGACTTGAGACCTAGAAGCTGTTGGGATGACTCTTGTCCAAGAAAGCCAAGAATTGGGGGAGATGATGGGAAGGAGAGGGAGGAGGAAGAGGAGGGGGGAGTGGGAAGAGGGGGAGGAGGGAAGGAGGAGAGGGAGGAGGGAGAAGAGGAGGAAAGGGAGGAGGCGTCCAGGTTGGTGCAGCTGCTACAAAAAGGCCTTTAAAACTTTTGTTTGTGTTTGTGCCCCTTTTAGTGGTGCCCAGGGCTTCCTCCTGGCTCTGTGCTCGGGGTCACTGCTGGCAGGGCTCAAGGTAGGGCGTGGGGTGCGGGCTCTGAACCTACGTCAGCCACATGCCAGGCAAAGTGCCTGACCTGCTGTGCTGTTGCTTCGCTGCGCACACCCCCCCCCCCATACAATTTTTTTTCTTTTAAATGAAAACAAAGATTGTAGAAATGAGGGCCAGGAGGTCTGGACCACAGCTGGAAACTTGCCATATGTGGGGAACCGGGGAGGGCAGCTAGGACACAGCAGAGACCACTATGACAATGAGAGAGAGAACGAGAGAGAGAGAGAGTGAGAGAAAGAGAGAGAGAGACAGAGACAGACAGACAGAGATGGATGTGGGGGGTTATCTGCCACAGAGCCATAGAGACAAGCTGGGGGATGGTGTCGGGAGGGAAACGGGGTCATTAGTTGTGGGAATTGTACACTGGTGAAGGGACAGGTGTTGAGCACTGTGTGACCAAAACCCAATCACGAACAACCTGGTAACTTTGTAGCTCATGGTGATTCAGTGAAAAAAAATTGGTTGTTGTTTGGGGCCACACTCAGCAATGCTCCTGGCTCTGCACTCAGGGGGTCACTCCTGGAGTGCCCAGGAGTGGGATGCCGGGAACCAGGTCGGCCATGAGCAGGGCAAATGCCCTCCCTGCCATGCTGCCCGTGAAACGAAGCCCCTTCGGGTACCCGGTGCCCAAGGGTGCACCGTGAGGTTCTCACCCCGGTCTACAAAGATGCAAATCTGAAAGGTGATTTGCTCCTGGCAGCAGGACTGGCCCCTGGGAGCCATGGGAACAGGCAGATGGATGGAGTCAGGGCAGGCACCTACATGAAGGGGGAGGCCATGAGGCCATGCCTTTGGGAGCCCCAGCACGGGACCGGAGGGGATGCCGAGGCCCAGCGCCGCAGTAAGGAAAACCACCACGCATCAGTGCTTTCTGCCCCATTACTAAACATCTCAAAATGGGGCGGGCGGGGACTCCTGCACTTGGTACAGATAACAGAGGTTGGTCCAGGAAGGGCAGGGAGGGGGAGGGGGGAGGAGAACATGGGTAGGGTGGGGGAGGGGAGAATGGCACCGTGAAGCTAGACCCCGGCTATTGGGATCCCTGTTAAACTAACAATAAAGCAAAAATGAAAAGGAACAAAGAAAGAGAGAAAAAAAAAACAGAAAAGAAACTGCCAGCAGAGGCCATATGAAAGGAAAAAAACACAGACACTAAAAACCCACTTAATGATTAGTCTCTGCTGCTGAGCCGCTCTGGTAAAACAAAGAGAAAAGTCAGAGGAAAGAAAAAAGCGCAGAGGCCAGCGAGCTACAAACCACTGGGACCTTCAGCTCCTTGGGAGGGTTGAAATATTCACAGCATATTGAATTAAAAAAAATTCACAGCACTAGGGGGGGTGGTGAGATCGGACAACACAAAGATGCTCACCTTGCCCGGTGGCACCCAGCCTGGAGGCAGCCCTCAGTGCAGGTGCCAGGTGTCAGCCCTGAGGACCGCGCTGGGTGAGGCCCAAACTCTCATTTAACTGAACTAGGACTGGAGCGATGCGACAGTGAATGGGACAGAGAGACGGGAGGCTTGCTCTGCACACGGGTCCATTCCAGCCCAATTGCCACCACCACATCAGGGCCCCCAGCATCTCCCAGAGAATGACAGCGAAACCTTCTGGTGACTCTCAACTTTATGTTTGTAGTGAATTACTTGCTTTCCTATTGCCCCATAACCTTCCCACACTTCACTCTAGAGCAATGTTCTTGGCTTAAACACAGCAAGACCGTTAATGTTGTACTCCTAGTATTGGGCAGTTCATTGACTCTGAAATATATTTACTCCTGGGCGTCTGTCATGATTACTTGATTACTTGATTCAGGCTTCAGTTGCTGTAGTTCCTAACACCCCACATAGGGGTGTCCCACCACAGGTTCTGGATGGACCCTGGGCAAGTGGCAAACCTATCCTGGGATCAAAACCGGACGGTCTAGAAAGCATAAAAGCACGGTCTTGATGCAAGCTGTTATGGCTTAAGAGAGAAGACCTCATGGGGAAGGACAAGGTAAACCGGCCTGAGGACTTAAAGTCTGGGATTTACGGTAAATGCCTTGCTTGCATTCTGAGCCCAGAGGACTAATTTTTGGGATTTATATTTCTTCCTGTGTTTATCCAAATAACAGCAATTATTAATGAGAAGAAAAGCGATATAATGCCTGTCATTTGCCCCTGGACAAAATCTCTCTGTATAACCCCTGGGAGTGAGACTGTCTCCTTGAGTTAATCCCCCCCAAGAGAATTGT